GGTAGTGGAGAATGTTGGGTGTGCCAACAACACAGCAGACAGTAGCAGGGATATCAGAGTATAAGGGCTCTAGTGGAGGGAGAGAGGCTATGGGAGGGTGCTACCTGGGAAGTGGGTGTAAAAAAAAATAATAACAATGATAATAATTCTTCAAAGCATAAAAATTTGTTCCTTAATGACTAGTAGATATGAAAAACTTTACCATTGAAATCTACTTGATGACTTTATATCCATGCTCAGATGCCTAGAAGCTCAGAAAGTAACCAACAGTGACTAGTAATAATAGATATTTAGAGATTAGAAATGCATGTGCAAACATCCAATGTCAATTGCATTGAAAAAGAATTTTTCTATATGAAACTGTGTATTTTAATAATGAGATGGAGATCTTTTTAAAGGTTAAAACATCATTTAATTTATGTCTTATAGGGTTTATACTGAGTACAATATTGTATAACTGTAATAATTCAACTGTAAGCCTAAAAATTTACAGCCAAATTTGAAAGAGATGCATCCTACTTCAGGAAAACGTTATTGGATATGTCAATTGTGTTGTAATGATATGCTTCTTCTAAGTATGTTGTTATTAAATAAATCATTTTTAAAAATTTAAAAAAAAAACTGCTTTTAGGATGGAGTCTTTCAGGGCAATGAACAGTATGAAAAACTACTGTTTTATAAAATATAAAGTAACTAAGAGCCAGGCACCACCTGACCTCAGCAGTCAGGTGCTGTTGTAGGTTATGAGAACATAAGTAGTAACACATAAAGAAGGCCATTGCTGTCATAAAACTTCTGTTCTAAATGGGATAAATGGCAGAGAACAAGTAGGTCAGCCAGAATAAATAGATCATTGGAAGAGCTACAAGAAATGGACAAGGTTTCTAGTTCAAAGAAAGACAGACCAAAAGCATCCCAGCATTTACCTTACTGGATGTGCATAGGCCAAATGCAAACAGCAACTTTGAAAGTTTTCAATGACAGCAATGGTCTTCTTTACATGTTATTACTTATATTCTCATAACCTACAACAAGGGATTTTATAGTCTATGAAAAGTGGAAAATCACTGACTTAGTAAACTGTGAAAACAATGGGATTTCTTAACGTTTATGGACCATTACAGAACATACCAATCCCAAGTAGCAGAGTATGCATTATTATTATTGAAGGAGGTCCATACATACAACATGCATTTGGAGATAAGAGAACAGCTTTGTGGACTTAGTTCTCTCCTTCTTCCTTTACATGGGTTCCAGGGCTCAAGCTTGTGTTGCCAGGCTTATGTATTCAAGTGCCTTTACTCACACCTTGTCAGGTCACTCAGAATATACACTTTTTAAAAAAACATGTGGAATTCAAGTCAAAGACAGATCTTATTCTGTGTCATTAAACTCATCATAAAAAATTTCAAAGAGCTCAGAGAAAGCATGTTCTCTGATAGTAATGGAACTTGAATAGAAATAAATAAGAAAATGGTAACAGGAGAGTGCCCAGCTGTCAGAAAACGAGATGACAAGCTTCCCAAAAATACTTGGGCAAAGAGTGCTCAAAAAGAAAATTTAAAATGCCCCTTATCATCCTGATGCCCCCCCAAATATAACTGTTAAGTCATAACCTTCAACCGCTTATCCCTATAGGTTCATGGTCAGCTCATAATGCAAAATGTATTCAATCTAACCTCAAAAATTCCAAAAGTCTAGGAGCAGTAACAATATTATTTAAAGTCCGAAGTCTCTTTTTAGACTCAAAGTAGTTGCTTAACTGAGACCCTGTGTAAAATTCATATACAATTTATATACTTCTAATATACAGTGGCACAGAGAAAATATTTCCATTCCAAAAGGAAAGAATGAGAGCATCGTAAGGAATGATTCGATCAAAATGAGACCAAACTCCCACAGAGGAAACATCAAATCTCGAAGCTCCATGTCTGACATCTAGAGCTTGTGGTAGAATCATCTGTTCTACCAGGGTCTTGAGTAGCCTCACCCCCTCAGCTCTTGATATCTCTTGGGCCTGCATCTACTCCATAGCTGTAGCTTTCCTCAGTAGAGATCCCAACATCCTGGATCCTCTAGTGTACCTTAGGCTTTGCCTTCACGGCTTCATACACTGACCTTGCAGGGTCTTCTTTCAGAGATTCTGATGCTGCCATACATTGCCTGGCTGCAGAACCTTGGTCTAAGATTCCATGATTTCCTCCATCCTTCCTCTTTCATGTCTACAAAGCCAATACCATATTGATAATGCTTCCATGTTCTGCTGCCAGATCAGGATGCAGGTTGGTCCTCTTGGACTACAATTACATTGGCCTTTGTGTGCTGACCTTGGGGGAATTTCCTACACTGTAGTTTGATCATAGAGACCCCCTCTCCCATTTCCACCACCATCCTACAAGTTTATTTATAAACCACTCCTACAACTTCATGTCCTTTATGCTTTTTTTTTTTTTTATAAGACTAAAGGCCCATCGAGACTAATTCGTATTGTCTAAATGCTCTTGGGTATGAATCCATCCCTTGGAGTCTGGCCAATCTACCACACATCACACCCTTAAAGAAAACTGGCTCTCCTTCTCTCAGTAGTCATCAGTTCCTAATGAATCCTTAGTTAGAGATTGGACTTCTTGCCCACCTGCCCCCATTCATGCTTGGTTTTTGTCTGGTTTGGGTTTGCACAGGTCTTATGCATGTTGTCACAAGTTCTGTGGGTTCATAAGTGCAATTCCCATGTATTGTTCATACAGTATGATTTCCTTGTATTCATCTAACACACCTGGCTCTTACAATCTTTCTGTACCTTCTACCACAATGGTCCCTGAGCCTTGAGAGGAGAGGGTGCAAGCAGGTGTCCCATTTAGGCCTGAGCACTTAGCAGTCTATTATTCTCTGCACACCAACCAGTTGACCAGTTGTGGGTCTCTGTGTTAATCCCCATCTTCTACAAGAAGCTTCTCTGGTGAAAGTTGAAAGGGAGCAGTGACATTCCAATATAGGCTCTGTGTTTTCATGTATTTACCTTTTTACAAGATGGAGACTTCCATAGGTGAGGTCTGCCCTCAGGACACTTGTCCTGTTCTCCCTGAGGAGAACATCAGGTTTCTTTCTAATGGCATTTTAATCTCTTTAAAAATCACATATTTTATTTTATTTACACTCTCATTGTTTAAAACTTTGAACTTGTTCACACACTTTTTCTCACTAAACTTCACATTTTTCTTATCTTCCTGCTCCACTTTTTGTTCTCCTTCCCCGTGGACCTGGATGAGAGCAGTGAGCAGTAACCATGACACAGCCAGAATATATCCTGCCTTGAAATTCCCTCCACCAAACAAATTAGTCCATTACCTTTAAACTCAGCTACATTCAAGTTCTCAGGACACTAGCAGAATGCATCCAGACTCTTTTCCATATCACACAAATGGCCTCTAGCCCAGTTCCTGATAGAGTCCATGCTCCTTTCTGAAACCTCCTGAGCTGGGTCTCCACAGTCTACATTCTTATCTTTCAAGCTCCTCGTAGAAGGTCTCAACTCTGCTTGTAGTGATCTAGAGTGTTTCCATCCCAAAGTTACAACTCTTCACAATCCTCTTGAAAACCAGTTTCAAAAATGTTCAGGTACATGGTCAGATTTATCACAGCAACAGCCCCACTTATAAGAATCAATTTCTTTGTTGCTGTAACAAAATAACTGACAAGAAGCAACTTAAGGAATAATGGCTCACTTTCTCAATTTACTCAGTCTGGCTGTTAGGATGAGTCTGCTCATCTCAATTCATGTAATCTAGGAAATTCCTGTTAGGTATACACAGAGATTTGTCATAAAGTGTTTCTAGATGCTGTCAAGGTAAAGGTCAATATAGGAAGTAATTATGAGGAAATGTATGTTGCTGTTAGGCAAGGTAGGATATTCTAGAACACTACTTAGTAATTTTACTCTCAAGCATATTCTTAGTTGACTAGTCCAAATCTAGGCCAACAGCAGAGACACAAAACAACTGTTCAACTCAGAATTTAAAAAATTCAGCAAAATTCAGACCAAGCAACTGGAAAATTATATTTTTCAGCTGCCAAACAGCTACTCAAGAATGAACATCTGGGTGAACATTTAGTCATCCAGATGTTCTCAAATGGCTAGACATGATTACCAAATATAATTGACTAAAGCCTTTGTAAACACCCAGATGCTTTAAACATCAGCTGTGGTCTTTAAGTCATTTATGGATGAGGTATAACCTTCCTTTTTCCACCTGTAACATTTGGTCACTTTAATATGATTTTTAGATACGATGAGGTTTACTGAGAACTTTCATGCCCTGATAAGGCACATACTAATTTTTGATCTGGGTATCCACTCAGTCAAAATAATTTATTGCTCATCATCATGAGATAGATTTGAATGATGCAAAAATTTGAATTTGTAACTCATTAACAACAGTCCGCACATTGAAGCACAGGGGCTGAATTCTTTCTCAAAATTTTCTTTCAAAATATCTATTCCTTGTCTCGCAAACAATCCTATTTTATTTCTTTAGAAATTAGACATTTACTACTGTATCTTAGTAACACAAGTAAATAAAAGACAGATCTGAAATACACCTGCCCAAATCCTGCCTACTTCAGGATACCATTGACTGTTAGCCCTGATTATACCCTTTAGGGAGTTTCTTGGTCTCTGACATCAATTAATGAGTGAATGGTTTCATTCATTACTCATTGTCAATGGATGAAAACTGTACAAGCTGGTGTTGTGATCCAAAAGAACAGTGATCATTTAATGCTTTAGAATGTATAAACTTTGATACATCTTAATTCAAAATCATTATAGATTGATAATGTAATGTCTATTTCATAGATTAAGCCTCTTTAGCACATAGAGGTTAAATAACTTGCCAAGGAGGTGAACCTTCAATACAAACCTTGTTCCAAATCTAATAATTATTTTCAGTAGATCAAGTTTGCTAATTTCCTGCTCATGAAAAACCCCAAATCTTGAAATGTTAATAAGATGCCTGGTGAAAAAATTAATTTGACTGTTCATTAAGAGAATTTCACAAGCATACTTAATTATGAAAGCCTTCTGTCAAAGCATTTACCCCTGTGTCACATGTATACCTACCAAAGGCATTCTTCCATTCTGTAAGCTACTTGATTTCCCCCATGTTCTGTGATTCAAGTATGCGATATCTTCAGTAGTAGAGTCTTACCATCAAATTCTGGAGGGCAACCAAGATCAATGACAATAGACTGTGATGTTTGGGGGTCTATGGGACCTCACTGATGATAAAATTCAAATGAATTAGCTTATTCCTGACACTGGGCTTTTTATTTTTTGGCCTGTGCTGTCTAATAGGGGCATTGTCATCCTCTTATAGGGTAACTCCATTTAAATTAATTTTTGTATGTGTATGTATATATCTTAGGAAGTTTCTATGGTAGAAGGTTTCCACATGACTTTTTCAAAAGACCTTCAGTGTTGTTTATCCCTCTCCATAGTCCTTCCTCTGCTCTGTCATCCCAACACCATCCCATTTAACCCTCCAGCTCCACTATTGCCCTTTCCCCCTTATACCACTGTATTCTAATTTGCCTCCCTTGAAAGACACCCCCAGGGACCCTACTAATTTCCTGACCTCTGGGTATTCCAAATGAGCTACATACGTCAAAAGATTTAATGCTAACATCCACAAATGAAAGAAAGCATAAGATCTTTATTTATCTTTCTTATAGTCATCTTGACGTTTCTTGGAGAAAAAAAAACTTGAGGTATTGGAAAAGAACTTGTGCTTTCTTGTTGTGTCTTGGAGCCTGTGATTTCTACTTTGTCCTTCCCAAGAAAGCAAAGGAAAACAAGAGACTTTCCTAATTGTAGTCATTCAATTTACCAAAAGAATCCCAGACCGACTGAAACAAATTGAGGGCAGCCAACTCCAAGACTATAAGCAAACTGCAATCACTACACAGGCCATATGAAATTCCAGAAAATTGTGGAAAAGTACAGACATAAAAGAATCTCATTTGACACTTGAGTTCTTGGCTTGGGACAATAGCAAAAATGTTCCCAAGGATAGCAACGACTTTTCCCACTGTTCGACTCAGCATTCCACTCAGGACTTAGTGACAGAAGGCATTGCACTAGTAATTACTCTCCTCTGGGTCCCCACCCCAGCCACCCTGCAGCAGGCTCTCTGCAGCCCTTCCCAATTCCTGCAGAAGGAAAAAGACACAAAGGAGGATATTTGTGGCCAGGCTGTCTCTAATTAGTCAGAATGAGAACAATGACTGGCTTTTCCTCTGGGCCAGCCTGGAAAAAATATCTTGTACTGCTGGGTGGGATGAGGAAAGACCCACCGACAGGAATCTTCAGGGGCGTATGATGCCTGTGACCCATTCCACCCAGCAGCCAGAGTCCCCGAATTCAGAAGCCACGTGAGGCAGGAGTCCTAGGAAAGGTGATGGCCACTGCTCCTCACAGCGACTGGGACAAAAGCATCACCTCTGTGCTTCTTCTAAAAGGAAGGTTCTGGAGCAAAGTCCCATTCCGAGGAAGCAGAGTCAGCAGACCTTGAACAGAACTAGAACACAAGAGCTGACATTTTACTACTAACTGCTTCTCCACCTGAATAATTCTCTACCAAGAATTCTCTCCATCTGAATAATTCTCTGAGAAGAAAAGATTGTGTGAATGGCTGGCATCTAAGCCATCTCAGGCCCAGAGATTTCCTATCTGTCTCTTGATAGGCAAAACTATGCTACATAAGAATGGTGACCAACATCAGGAATAAGGAAGGAGTGGTGATCAAATTAAAAGGCAGAAGTTAGCCCTAAATTCTAGTTCTGTCACCAAAGACTACGAGAGCACAGTGCTCAAGAATTGTTCCTCCTAACATCTGTGAGAACAAACAAGGGTTCTGTGTTGAGTAAATGGAATCATGTATGTGAATGTGCTTGCAAACTATAGTCAAACATTTGTGGTAGTTGATGACTCTGATGGAATCTTAATGAATGGGGTCAAATGAATCTTTTTTAAATAATTTTTTTATTATTTTTATTTTATGTGTAAGAATGTATTGCCTGCATGTACATAAGTGCACCCATGTCATACAAAGACTGTGGAGGCCACAAGAGGACATCGAATCCACTGAAACTGGAGTGACAAATGGTTATTAGTTGCCATGTGGGTGATGGGAACCAAACCTGGGTCCTCTGCAAGGGCAGCCAGTGCTGTTAACCACTGAGCCATCTCTCCAGACCCTCAAACGGATCTTAATGGTGGAATCCTAAATATTGAGTGAGTTAAGTCATAAAAACAACTTAAAAATAGCAGAGGTAGAGATTTCAGAGTCACAGATAGGCAAGTCTTCAAGCTCTACTATACATATTAGGAACATGTGTATGTAACATGTGTGTGATACAAGAAAAACTGGGGTCCCCTCTCAGAGCTTTTAGTCTCTCTCAAAAAAAGAATTTAAGAATGAGCTCAAACAGAAGCTTTAGGACAATTTTATTAGAGTTAAAAAAGTCTTCAGGGCAGGCAAGTTGTAAATGTCAGTGGCTGTCCTGAGGAGGAGACAGGAGGAGAGGAAGGAAAACATCACAAAGTGATGATCATTTATAGTCCAGCAGAGGTCAGACATGTGGTGGACTAGCAGTCACATGGTGGGGAGGGGAAGTGGTTTTTAGAGAAAAAAATAAAGAAACCCAAAATGTTGGAGCAGCCCAAAACATTAGGGAAAACATGGTTAGAAAAAAAAGATGAAGAAGAGGTTATGCTTTTCTGAAGGTTTCAGAAAAGTGGAAAGACTTACAGAAAGCTACATGCCCATAAGCATCACAATAGGGTGCAGATTCCGGGCAGGAAAAGTTCACCTTCTCATTAATGCACTAGGTATTCCACCCATCTCTTTAGCATGACTTAAGGTAAACCTGCCTTCTTAGGGGTTTTCCTCTGACCATGATTGACTCTGCAAAACTGGAAAGTTGGGTCTTCATCCAAACCAGAAATTTTATTCTTTTGACTAGTTTTCTCTTATGGGTTTTTTTTTTTTTTTTTGCTACAGTGATTCTCCATTTATGGAATCAGTAGTTGAAAACTTCAGCCCTTTCAGTGACCTTCTTCACGTTTTTGCTAAAGACCTTAAATTTCAGTAAGTCCAAGCCAGTAGATGGGGGAAAAAAAATTTAAGAAACCACTTCTGTAACAACTCAAGCACTTGTTCTGTAACTAGTCTTCTGACTAGTTGAGGGTTTTTTTCCCAGC